GTTGTGAAGCAATTGATTTACTTGTTCTCCTGTTGCCTTCAATGGTACACTAAAGTAGGAGATACTGAAGCTCATTACTTTCCTTTTATTGTGCCTGGAATATTTCTACGTGTTTTCTTAATGCTGAACTACAGAAAATTTCCTCAAGTTTTATTCTACTCAATGTAATAACTAGGCTGACTAGCTAAAACCAGGGCTCCCTCTGTGCTTAAGAACATAAGAGAAGCCAATGTTGGATCAGGCCAATGGCCCATCCAGTCCAACACTCTGTCACACAGTGGCCAAAAATACCAGGTGTCATCAGGAGCTCCAGCAGTGGGGCCAAGACTCTAGAAGCCCTCCAACTGTTGCCCCCCAGCACCAAGAATACACTGCATCACTTGCCCCAGATTGAGAGTTCCTATCTGTACCTTGTGGTTAATAGCCACTGATGGACTTCTGCTCCATACGTTTATCTAATTCCCACTTGAAGCGGTCCATGCTTATAGCCGCCACCACCTTCTGTGGCAGTGTTCCATGTGTTAATCACTCTTTGGGTGAAGAAGTACTTCCTTTTATCTGTTCTAACTAGAGATGTAAAATTTCTGGAAATTTTGAAGCTTGGAAAAAAACCCAGGTTTTTTTCAGGGGAAAACAGAAATTTTCGGAAAAATTAAAAAGAAAAAGAAAAAGCTACAATCGGACTTCTTTTTTCTTTTCCACACTGAAAGTCATTCTGTTACTTTAGGAACATAAAATATGACTATGGACATTTTTACTTGGCATGAAATTCTCACAACTAGCATATTAAAAATACAGTGTAGCCAAACAATTACTACAAACAGAATACCCACCCACATGCAAAAACAAAACTGACACCTTTTTCTTTTCTTGTGACAATAGCACCTCCTAAAGGAAGAAATGCATCTTGTTCTTGCATTGGAGAGTTCTGTTTGAAACCTAAGACTTGCTTGTCCTCAGTGCAATCTGATACCATACATATTTTTTAGAAATGATTTTGAAAATATTTGAACACCTTGTCATTAAAAAATTATTCATCATGTTAAAACAAAACTTTCCATAATCCATTTTTTCATTTTTCCCCCAATTTTTTCAATTTTTCGGAAAAAAGCAAAAAAGGCTTCAGGGGAAAAACAGGGGGAAACCGTCCCCCCCCCCCCCCCAAATTTTCCACTTTTTTTCCCGGGCTTTCCACCCGACTGCTCAGCAATTTCATTGGGTGCCCACGAGTTCTTGTATTGTGAGAAAGGGAGAAAAGTACTTCTTTCTCAACTTGCTCTATCCCATGCATAATCTTATAAACCTTGATCATGTCACCCCTCAGCCATCATTTCTCCAAGCTAAAGAGCCCCAAGCACTTCAACCTTTCTTCATAGCGAAAGTGTTCCAACCCTTTTATCATGCTAGTTGCCCTTTTCTGCACTTTTTCCAATGCTATAATATCCTTCCTGTGGTGTGGTGACCAGAACTGTACACAGTACTCCAAATGAGGTCACACCATCCATTTATATAGGGGCATTATGATACTGGCTGATTGGTTTTCAATTCCCTTCCTAATATTCCCCAGCATAGCGTTGGCCTTTTTTATTGCAGTTGCACACTGTCTAGACATTTTCAGTGAGTTATCTACTATGACTCCAAGATCTCTCTCTTAGTCTCTGCCAGTTCGGACCCCATCAATGTGTATTTATAGTTAGGATTTTTCACTCCAATGTGCATCACTTTGCACTTGGCCACATTGAACCCCATTTGCCACGTTGATGCCCATTCGCCCATCCTCGACAGATCCCTTTGGAACATAAGAACATAAGAGTTGCCAATGTTGGATCAGGCCAAAGGCCCATCCAGTCCAACACTCTGTATCACACAGTGGCCAGAAATACCAGTGCCATCAGGAGGTCCACCAGTGGGGCCAGGACATTAGAAGCCCTCCCACTGTTGACCCCCCCCCAAGCACCAAGATGACAGAGCATCACTTGCCCCAGAGTCCCTATCTATACCTTGTGGCTAATAGCCACTGATGGACCTCTGCTCCATATGCTTATCTAATTCCCTTTTGAAGCCGTCCATGCTTGTAGCTGCCACCACTTCCTGTGGCAGTGAATTCCAAGTGTTAATCACTCTTTGGGTGAAGAAGTACTTCCTTTTATCCGTTCTAACCCGACCGCTCAGCAATTTCATGGAGTGCCCACGGGTTCTTGTATTGTGAGAAAGGGAGAAAAGTACCTCTTTCTCTACCTGCTCTTTCCCATGCATAATCTTATAAACCTCAATCATGTCACCCCTCAGTCGTCGTTTCTCCAAGCTAAAGAGCCCTAAGCGCCTTAACCTTTCCTCATAGGGAAAGTGTTCCAACCCTTTTATCATTCGAGTTGCTCTTTTCTGCACTTTTTCCAAAGCTATAATATCCTTTTTAAGGTGTGGTGACCAGAATTGCACACAGTATTCCAGATGAGGTCGCACCATTGATTTATATAGCGGCATTATGATATTGGCTGATCTGTTTACAATACCCTTCCTAATAATCCCCAGCATAGCATTGGCCTTCTTTATTGCAGTCACACACTGTCTCGACATTTTCAGTGAGTTATCTACTACAACTCCAAGATCTCTCTCTTGATCTGTCTCTGCCAGTTCAGACCCCATCAACGTGTATTTATAGTTAGGATTTTTGGCTCCAATGTGCATCACCTTGCACTTGGCCACATTGAACCCCATTTGCCATGTTGACGCCCACTCGCCCAACTTTGACAGATCCCTTTGGAGTGCCTCACAATCCTCACTGGTTTTCACCACCCTGAACAACTTCGTATCATCCGCAAATTTAGCCACTTCACTGCTTACTCCCAACTCCAAATCATTAATGAACAAGTTAAAAAGCAGTGGACCAAGTACTGATCCCTGTGGTACCCCACTGCTTACACCCCTCCACTGGGAGAACTGCCCATTTATACTCACTCTCTGTTTTCTATTAATTAGCCAGTTTTTGATCCATAAAAGGACTTGTCCTTTTATCCCATGATTTTTGAGCTTACTTAGGAGCCTTTGATGAGGAACTTTATCAAAAGCTTTCTGGAAGTCAAGGTAAACAATATCTATTGGATCCCCCTTGTCCACATGTTTGTTCACCCCCTCAAAGAACATTAACAGGTTAGTGAGACAAGATCTTCCCTTACAGAACCCATGTTGAGTCTGCCTCAATAGGTTTTGTTCATCTATGTGCCTACTAATTCTTTCCTTAATAATGGTTTCCACCAATTTACCCGGTATCGACGTCAGACTGACTGGCCTGTAATTTCCCGGATCTCCTCTGGAACCCTTTTTAAAGATGGGAGTGACATTAGCTACCTTCCAGTCCTCAGGAATGGAGGCTGATTTTAAGGAGAGATTACATATTTTTGTCAGGAGATCCACAAGTTCACAATTGAGTTCTTTCAGAACTCTTGGATGTATGCCATCTGGGCCTGGTGATTTATCAGTTTTTAAGTTGTTTATCAGTTTTAGGACCTCCTCTCTCGTCACCTCAATCTGACTCAGGTCTTTCAACACCCCTCCCGAACTCAGCGGCTCTGGAGTGGGCAAGCACCTCTCATCTTCCACAGTGAAGACGGAGGCAAAAAATGCATTTAGCTTCTCAGCCATTTCCCTATCATCCTTCAGTACTCCTTTTACCCCTTGGTCATCCAAGGGCCCCACTGCCTCCCTGGCTGGTTTCCTGCTTCTAATGTATTTGAAGAAAGTTTTATTGTTGGTCTTTACATTTTTTGCTATATGCTCCTCATATTCCCTTTTTGCCTGCCTGACCACAGACTTGCATTTTATTTGCCATAGCCTGTGTTCCGTTTTATCAGCCTCACTGTGACTAGAGTGCCTCACAATCCTCCCTGGTTCTCACCACCCTGAACAACTTCATGTCATCTGCAAATTTAGCCACTTCACTGCTGAATCCCAACTCCAAACCATTAATAAACAAGTTAAAAAGCATCGGACCCAGTACTGATCCCTGTGGTACCCCACTGCTTACCACACTCCACTGAGAAAATTGCCTATTTATACTCACTCTCTGTTTCCTATTAATTAGCCAGTTTTTGATCCACAAAAGGACTTGTCCTTTCATCCTGTGACTATTGAGTTTACTTAGAAGCCTTTGATGAGGAACTTTATGAAAAGCTTTCTGGAAGTCAAGGTAAACAACATCTATTGGGTCCCCTTTGTCCACATGTTTGTTAACTCCCAAAGAACACTAACAGATTAGTGAGAGAAGATCTTCCCTTACAGAACCCATGCTGAGTCTGCCTCATTAGTTTTTGTTCATCTAAGTGCCTACTAATTCTTTCCTTAATAACAGTTTCCACCAACTTACCTGGTATCGACAGCAGACTGACTGGCCTGTAATTTCCCGGATCTTCTCGGGAACCCTTTTTAAAGATGGGAGTGGCATTAGCTACCTTCCAGTCCTCAGGAATGGAGGCAGTTTTTAAGGAAAGATTACATATTTTTGTCAGGAGATCCACAAGTTCACATCTGAGTTCTGTTAGAACTCTCGGATGTATGCCATCCGGGCCTGGTGATTTATTAGTTTTTAAGTTGTCTATCAGTCATAGGAACTCCTCTTTTATCATCTCAATCTGACTCAGGTCTTTCAACACCCCTCCCAAAATCAGCAGTTCTGGAGTGGGCAAGCACTTCTCATCTTCCACAGTGAAGACAGAGGCAAAATATGCATTCAGCTTCTCAGCCATTCCCCTATCATCATTCAATACTCCTTTTACCCCTTGGTCATCCAAGGCCCCCACTGCCTCCCTGGCTGGTTTCCTGCTTCTAATGTATTTGCTTCTTAACTATAGTAATAACACTGTATTTAGTTTTATCTTCTGAGCACAAAACTGGTATCCAGTTATGCAGACAGTGCAATCCAGCTCCTTAAAGTCCACAAAACCTTTGCCATTGCCTTCAACAACAGATAGATCGAATTCTACATAGGACATAGAGCTCCTTACCTCCGTCTTCACAGTCTTCAGGAGCTTTGGCTTTTTTACAAAGACGAGGATCCAGCCAGGTGGTGGTTTTGGTGTTATGACTAGGAGAAAGTTAAAGAAGAATCACTTAATACAAAAGATGCCCTCCACCATATGTAATTATAGCACCATAGTGTGAAATCACAAAGCATAATTCTTTAGGTATCCTCTTCCCCAACCATGTGCTGACTGGGTGAGAAACTGATACTCTGAACATGTGATTAGGAGTAGATTCTAAAAGCATCAATTTCACTTATACTAAATATTCCAGGATTTAGATTCAAGATACAATAAAACTGTATTTACACTTGCTTGAAAAATATCACCAATGGAACTGGTAACGATGAGTATTAGGAAAACAGAAAAATGCTTTTTAATTGTGTTATTAAATATTTAGCCTCCTCCTTTTTTTCCAAGTAACCCAGGAGTGTATACATGCTCCTCCATCCCCAAGTCATTTTTACAGCAACCTTGTAATGTAGACAAAGGTTGTGATTGTGGCTGGTTCAAAGTTACCTGTGGGTTTTAGGGCCAAGCAGGGATTTAGACCCAGCTCTTTGCAGTCCTAGCCACTCTAAAAGCTACGTAACACTAATATACACACTCAGGGGTCTTTTAGAACTGGAGCGTGCCGGAGCAACGCTCTGGGAGCCCAGGAGCTGGCGCAAATGGCAGTGGCAGCAAGCCCCGCCCCCAGCTCTCTGCGCTGCGGTCCATCGCCAGCCTCCCGGGGCCTGCGCTGGGGTGCTGTGGCCCCAAGGAGGCCAGAGGAGGCCTGTTGCTGATTCTCTGGGGCCCGCGCCCAAGCACTGCAGCTCCAAGGAGGCCTGTTGCCGGCTTGCTGGGGCCCGCGCCGGAGCGCTGCAGCCCCAGGGAAGCCACAGGAAGCCCATCGCCAGCTACCTGGGGCCCACGCTGGAGCGCTGCAGGCTCAGGGAGGCCAGAGGAGGCCCGTCGCCGCCTCCCTGGGCCTCCCGGGGTAAGTGAGGGATCCGTGGGGGGTGGCGGTGGCTTGATTGGGGGGTGGGGGTGGGAGAGCCTCCCCCTCCCCCCATCTCTTTGCCCTCTTTCTTTCCTTCCTTTCCTTCCCCTTTCCTTTTCTTTCCCTTCTTTTCTTTCTCTCTTTCACTTCTCTTCTCTTTTTCCCTTCTCTCTCTTTCTTTCCCTCCTTCTTTCCTTCTCTTTCTTTCCCTCTTTCCTTCCTTCATTCCTTCTCTCTACTCTCTCTCTTTCCTTCCTTCTTTCCTCCTTCTGTGGCCCAACTCTAGTGAGAAGGGGTGTAAACTTTAAACCCCTTCTCTCCTCGCTTCCCTCCCCAGGGAAGGGAAGGGAAGGCTTTTGAAGATACCTTCCCCCCCTTTTTACTTCCCCTTCTGACATCACTTCCGGCGATGTCAGGGGGTGTTGCATAAGCTAATGAGCTATTATGCTAATAGCCTAGTAGCTCATTAGCATACCGTATGCTAATGAGCTCCTGCAGCTCTTTTTCTAGACAAAGACCCCTGCACACACTATCTCTCTTTCTTTCCAACTGTGAAGCAGAAGTTCATGAAAATGAAAGCCTGGTTTCAGAGGTATGTGTTTGTTGTCACAGTTTATACAGCTACACTATAAAACAGCAGGTTTGTCTGCAGTGAGGTAAACTTAGGTTACTGCTGTCAGAAAATATTAGTAACTCCTCAACATTTAGCGCATGATGAATCCAGTGACTCTGGAACCGTGTGGGTGTATGTGTAAGATCAGCAGAGAACAAACACACCAAATGAAACATACACATGTCCCTTCTGCCTCCCTTCATAACAGGCCTATAAACAGCTTCTATTCAGCTTGATTTTAAACATTTGCCTATTTAAAGATGCAGCATAATCTACATTTATAATAATAGATGATCCACTTCTACAGAGTTTCAGTCAAAAGAAATTCACTATTTACAACCAATGGCAACAGACACTAAATAAAAATTTCCCCTTAACTGAAACACTTGAAAATAAACTATAATTAGGAATAAAAACTTCAGATTAATCTATAATGTAGTAAAACTTATTTTTGCAAGGCAGCATTTTACAAAAGGATGTTTTATGTTTATCACATAGTACAATCAATAAAGATCTTTGCTTTTCAGAAATGTATTTTTTCAAACATTGACAGAAATGTTTCATAAAGTAATATTCTCCATGCTACTCTGCACTGAAGTATCATAGCATTCACTAGCATATGGTAATCTATCTATATATAAGCAGGCTGGAAAAGGATAATCAGTTTAAAACTTTCAAATATCTACACTCCCAAACTGGACGCAAATGGTACCACCTTTTACTTACTCAATGAAATAGATCATTCCTGTGTCTGTGTAGGCCATTTCCCAGTTCTTAGGTAGAGGCTCTAGATTTTCTTCCCTTGATAAATAGTTCCTGAAATCCATAGAACTGCTTGTTTGATTGTAACTAGGCACTGGTTTCATCCAGTCAGAAGAATCTGAATGTCTGTCTTTGTTTTCTGCAATTGTTTAAGGGGAAGTGTTAATCTTTCATATTTTCATGCAAATTTGCACAGAAGAAGCGCCTTCTTATCTTGGTTATAAGCAAGTGTCAAGTAAAAGATATTTTCCTTAATATTTTATGCCATATTTCTTGACTGTTTTAAACTTTAAATAAATGAATATTGAACAATGCATTTCACTTGCCATACAGCAGGCTTAGTTATGCCTTGGCTGAAAAATAAATATAGGATGAGATTTATGCAGTCCATTTAATTGAACATCATTGCACTGAATAACATTGGTGCAGCCAATTGCAGAATGTACGTTGTTTTCCTCTGAAAAGTACCAAACATGTCAAAAGATTATTATAAGGGGAACAAAATGGGAACTTTGGGCAACATTGTGAATAAACAGAAATCTATGATTCACCTAGTGGCAGATTAATAAACTCTTCAGGGGAAAACTTTATGTGCCCATACAAATTGTGCTGTGGATGCTTTAATCGATAAGCTGAACAAAATAAAATTTGATATGCGCAGCACTTTTATCAACATCTTTCAATAAATCCTGAATGCAGTGACTTGCAAATTTAGTATGAGTATGATTTAATGTTTGTAAAATTTTGAAGTGCCGGACTGGACACAAAAATCTTATTTTTATTGCAGTGTGTAAAGATGAAGCAGGCCAGCGTTCCTGGTACCTTAAGAGTGGGAAGAGACAAGCATGAACAGGAAGAGCTGCTAGTGAGAGGCAATAATGGTAGTGATCTCATTTTTGAGCTGATCTTGCCAAGCATCTCTGTGGCTGAGGTGAGCAGAGAGACTCTGCAGGAAACAAGCCAGGATACACACTTGTACATAATGAGAAACCATAGTTAAAACTAGCTCTGGTTAATAAATCAAACCAATTCTGACTTCGGATCCTGGTTTGAAAGACCCACATTAACTTAACCAATTAATTATGATTTTATTAAAGCCATTGGGTTGGATCCTAGTAGATTTTCTCAGCTGAACAAGGGAGGAGGATGTCCTCTTTGGCCACCAAAGGGGATCACAGGACCTACATGGACAAAAGCCATGTGTGAGGAGACCTGTACTAAGAAAGGGGATAGGGGGTGTGATCTGGCTAGATCCAATTCATAGTTTTAAGTTATGCCTGGATGGAGCCACTCAGTCATTGTGAGTATTCTGTCCCTTGTGGAGCATTTTCAGTTCTTATCAGGCCAGTTTTTCTCCCCTTAAGCTAATTTACAGTCACAATTCTCTGTATATCTGGGAAACCCCAAACATGTATGGAGTCTCTTATCTTGTCTGTGAATGGCTTGTAGCGAGGCTTTCATTATCCACACAGAGGCCAGACAGTTTTGCTAGGATCATACATACTGCAAACTAAAAAGTGGAGAAGCAATCGGTATATGTGAGGGCATGAAGAAGTACATGCCAGACATCCAAATGATGGTTTGGCAATAGGGCTGCCAAATCCCCCAGGGGGGCGGATTTCCCCCCGCTTTGGAGGCCCGATTTCCGCCTCTGCGGAATCGGGCCCTGGGGGAACCCCACCCCCGCGTGCACGTCACAGGGAAGTGACGTCATAATGCCGGGCACGCTGGGGGCGGGGGACAGCCATTTGAGGGGGAAAATGGCTGTGCCCCACCCCAGTGTGCCCGGCGTAATGACATCACTTCCCTGTGGCGCGCGCGCCGGGAGTTAGCACAAAGTCCCCCACCGGCAGAGGTAAGTCGATTTGGCAACCCTATTTGGCAAAAACACTGAATTGTGCGCTTTACACTATCTGTGGTTCACTGCTGGTAAGAGCCTGAAGGAGAAGGCCAAAGGACAGTTGGTGTTTCAAGCCCACAAGAGGATTTTAACTCTGCCATTTTTTTTCTTTATGCAACCTCATTGAAAAGTTACCTGTCAAAACAGAAGATGCTAAGGCAGCTTAGGGGAAGAACATTAGCTCTGCATCTTTTTTTCCTTTTCTTTTTTAAGCAAGTAAGGGAGTGAGTTAAGAAGAATAGGGAAAAATGATTACAAATTGGATTGTGGAGGGACAAGCTGAGGGGGAGAATGTAAGAATTTAAGGGAGATTATTCTATCTTTTAGAGAAAAGCAAGGGGAAAACTAAACTGATCCAGAGGGAATGACAACTGGGAATAAATGTTTCCTGAGCTTTTAATATATTCTTAGGGGGGGGAGCATAATTTACTATGAGCTAAGAACACAGCAGTCTACAAAATGGAAACACAAAAGAGATGGACTACAGGTGAAGCACTGTTCTCACTCCACAGTATATAATGCAATAAGTACTTAAGTGTACTGACCTGTGCCTCCACTGCCATTAATTGCTTCCTTTTCTTCTTCCTCCTCTTCTTCAGGAAGGGAGCTATCCATTTTCTCCATCTTGCTGACTGATGTGGTTCTTTTCCTTTGAGATTCTGGGTCAAAATCATTATCAAAAAGCACTTGGTCCACTGGGTCAGGCTGAAATGGACTGGGCTCAGCCGGAGGTTTGGGGGTACCATAGAAATTACCTTGTATATATCCATGCATATATGAGAAAAAGAGAGAAATGATAATTAGAAATGATAATATGAGCAAGAATGTTGGCAACAGACTTGATCATTGTATATTTTGAAAAATTTAGGCACCTTATTCAGTCCAACAGCCACATTTGAACTGTAGAGTTAGCCTAAGGCTTACATAATTCATGCTGAATTAATATGATCTGCAAGCAAGTGGTAAAGAAATCTTGTCTCAACAATTGAGCATTTTCATCTGATGGGGAAGACTATGAACCCTGGTCTTGCTTATCTAAAATGTGAAATGTTGTGAAATGGCTTAGAAATAAGACTTAAAACCAAAGTAAATGGAGATATTTTATTTTACTTCTGGATACTAAGACCTTCAGACATCATACTGTTACATTTTTGTCACATTCACGGGCATTTTAAAAAAGGAGGTATCTGTGAGATCCACAATTCATACATTTGCTGTTGGGCACACCAGGACAGCAGTGTACTGAAATAATCTTGTTCCCCATTTAAAATACAGTTCTGCCCTCCAAAGATTTGGGGGGGGGGTGTCTTTTCTGCTAGTGCAGCAGCCAGTGACGTTTTCCAGACAGCCTTAATGTTCCAATTTCATTTCCCTTTGTTGCTGGTTTTTCCCCTGGTTGCCAAACAGCTTCGTAAGAATCCCTTGCTGTCCCAGTTTTTCACCGTTTCCCCCCCCCTGCTCTTTCTGAAACTAGGATTGCTAATGAAGCTGTGTAGAAACAAGAGGGAGGAAAAGCAGTAAAAGGTTCATGAGATGGAGTGCCTCAATAAAGGAAGCCATGGCCTTCAGTTTGCAAGACCTGAATAAGGCTGTTAATGTTAGGTTGTTCCGGAGGTCATTCATTCATAGGGCCACTGTAAGTTGGAAGCTACTTGATGGCACATAACACACACATTCTATGTGATCATTTGCGAGCACAGCACACACTGGGATCTGGCTGCATTTAACCCTATGAGATGTAACAGCAGCAATGATTGTGAATGCATTTGTGAAAATTCGTACATTAGATACTGTAGACACGATCTTTCCCAAGTGGGCACAATACAATTAAAACAATACAATAACCCTACAATCAGAAAATGCCATGGAGAATCTAATCAACAACGCAGTAGCTAAAAACGATGGTATAGTTCCCAGATGGTTGTTCAAATTCAGGACACTGATGGGAGGCCAATCAGAAGGAGAGGGGGATCCCTGCTGCCTCAACTAAAAGTTTCCTCTCCCAACATGCTCCTCAAAAGCTAAAGGTAGACTACAAACTTGAATTGCCCACATCTTTGATTGTCTACACATTTATCTTGAATACATGAATAATTAGGTAGCATACACCACTCTGCAAGAAATCACCAGACTTGCTCAATTACTATAATTTCTCAACACGTAAGTGTATTTCTGATGCTGTTGCATTTCAGAGTAAAGCACTTAATCCTAAAGCAGCTGCCCTACATGTAGTTTCTAACAAATGGAGGGTTTGTTATTTCGCTTTTCATTCACTAATACCTCCAAATGAGACATACAGAAGGGATTTAAAGAGTAACGGAGAACAGTGAAAATCAAGATCAATTCTGTTTTTACATACGGCACATCATAATTAACTAATATGAAGCAATCTTGTTTTTGGCAGGCTGAAGTTAAGAACAAATTTAGTTTCATGCAAAAATATGAAACAGCAATTTACAAAAAGATAGAATTAAAATACACAGTTGGAGATTTAGTCCCATGCTTTCAGATGACAGCTTGTTCCTGCAATAAAGCTATTAGCTCAATATTGAAGGGTACCTAAGAAAGTTAAAAATACTTCCATTTTAATATGCTTCCCCTCACTTGAGAGATCACCAGTATTTTTCAATAAAGAGCACTGAAACGAAAGTTTAAACAATTGGCTTTCATCCTAATTAATCGTGCTATTTACACAAGGGAATTCTTTCACAGCACAAAAGGGAGTGCCAGGGCTTCAACCATTTTATCATTTTATGTTGATTTCACAAGATATTTCAGGACTCCATATGTGATGTCATCACCAGCTAGTCTTATATCGGCAGCAAAAGTTTGGTCAGATGCAGTCACTAGTTTTTTAAAGGAAATTTTGATTCTTTAAGAACTTAAAATTACCTAAAACCAAACAATGCATTACATATAATTTTCTAAACTGTAAAAACATATACATGGCCAGCAAGGACTCATAGGGGAGGAGAAATGCTATCTTTACTTCTTACCCCCCTCCCCCATTGCTGGCTTCTATTTTCCTGCCCTTTCTCCTGCTTTCTTCCATTTGCTCCAGCTCCCACAATTCCTTTGTTGCTGACCCTGCTTTTCCTTTCCTGTTCTGTTCTTGCCACTTTTAACTCCCATCCCCTCTTCTGTCATTCTCCCAGCAGCATCTCCCCCACCTATTGTATCCCCAATACCTAAATAAATAAAAAATAAATAACATACTAAATAATTCAAAAGTGGTGAGATCTTGTGAGAACTCTGCCACTATTTTGGGCTGCCCAGACAATGTTGTCTAAGGTTGCGTAGACAATTCAAAATGGTGGTCAAGATTTCACAAGGCAGCTTTACAAGACGTCAACAGTTTCAAACTGTTTAGTATTTTATTTAATCTTTCTCCCTTAACATTTAAGGTTTTTCGGCAATCCTGGGAGGTCCCCTTGTTTGCAGAAACATCTATTCTAGCCTTGGGTGGCCCCCATTGAGCATATATTTGGTCCATGTGATGGGCCCACCATGGCTACTGGACATATAATTTGATAGTGTACCCCCTGAGGTTACATAAAGGCTTTATTCAATTTTAAATTAGAAAGTTTTATGGTAATAGCAACCAATGGGCATGTACTTTTGTTTAGGAAGTATCTCAATAATAAATGGAAAGTTTTGATTTAAGTCAGTGTTTTTAAATGGTCTTTTCCTGATAATTTAAATTATGAATTCAGTCACTGATTTAAACTGTCTTGATTCAAATCAATCCAATCTGCTTAAAATCATCTGTTACATGGCTACAAAACAGAGACAAAAATTAAATGCAAAGGGATTCAGGAAAAAGCTAGAAAATTGCAAAGTAATGGGCTGGATCTGAGAAATTTGCAAACTGAACAGGGTGTGGGAGTGATTTCTACAATATTCCGTTCCCCCACCAGCCTCCTGAAACCCATGAAAATGCACTGCTGACAGTTAGTTGACCTTCCTGAACAATATGCCATGTAGCAAGCAGCAAGAAACGGGAACTGAAGAAAATTATCAAAGCACATTTTATTCATAGAAACCTGGGTCCAAACGAAAGTTGTTGTTGTCACAGGCAACTTATGGCAACCCTGTAGGGTTTTCAAGGAAAGAGCCATTCAGAGGTGGTTTGCCATTGCCTTCCTCTGCAAAGCAACCCTGGACTTCCTTGTTAGTCTACCATTCAAATACTAATCCAGGCTGGTCCTGCTTAGTTTCCGAGATCTGATGCAATCAGGCTAATCTGGCCATTCAGGTCATGACAACCCAAAATTTGGATATCTTTATTAAATACAGCATCCAATTTTTTTTTCATTTAATCAATTTCTATCTTACTGTTCCATCTAACAACAGCACAAGGCAGCTTGTAATCATATCATTCATTATTACAAACAAAAACAAAGTTTAAATCTGCATATTGTAATAACACTGCAAAAGTAATAGAGGCTTTGCATACCTGTAAAAATGGAACACATTACTTACTTCTTAATTACTGTTTTCACAACCAGAGTCTTAAACGGCAAACCCTCATCCCACAAAAGGAGAGCCTAAAAGTTACTACGAAAGTTATCATGTAACTTAACAACAGCTGCCAGAAATTTTGCCACACACAAAGTAACTTGTTCTATCTCAAAGTAACCAGGATGATTTTGCTTCTGAAGAGATAAAGTCCTGATTAAATAATGGAGAGCTCAATTCAGCTCTTAGATCTGAAAATTTGGGTCAGTCAAAAATATGATCCACGGAATCAATTTTGTTGTTGACACAATTACAGAGTCTGTCTAAATATGGAATTCCATTGAATCTTCCTAACATCACCGCTGAACGTAGGCCATACTTCTATACTTCAGAAGAGTAAGCTCAGAGTTAGCATTTTTATTGGAGGGAGAATGCCTACTGAGAAAGATGAACATGCTCTGCGGGCACTAATCAATGTCCTCTCATAATCAAAGTCCCTCAGATGTCTTCTTATGAGCTGTGTCAATTCCTGTCTACTCATGGTTTACATCACATCTCGGGTATATAAAATGGAACAGATTATCCTACAGCACATATAGCTCACTCATGGGCATGTATACAGCTTCCAGAGTACATGGGTCTGATTAATCACAGCTGAGATTCATGTACAATTGCTATGCCTCTTTGTTGTTGTTGTTGTTCAGTCGCACAGTCGGGTCCGACTCTTTGCGACCCCGTGGACCAGATCACGCCAGGCCTTCCGGTCTTCCGCCGTCCTCTGAAGTTTGCTCAACTTCATGTTCGTTGCATCTATGACACTGTCTGACCATCTCATCCTTTGCCGTCCCCGTCTTCTTTGACCTTCAATCTTTCCCAGCATCAGGGTCTTCTCCAGTGAGTGCTCCCTTCTTAAAATGCTGTCAATCAGCTATTACTCTGCACTGTGACATGATATGACAAATGAGAGCAATACAGATATGGCCAAACTCTTCTACAAGCATTGCCATAGGTCCAGTGTTTAAATCTGCAGGCAGAGCAGGAATTTTGCTTTTCTTGACATTCAATGAGATCAAAAGAATCCAGAGCTAAAGAAAAATAGCTGCTACCACTGTGCAAGAGCTTGCATATGGGTTTGTTTGCACAGTGCTATAAAAAGGTGCTTTCTGTAGCAGTTCCTATATTTCTACTTGTGGAAGCGCTTTAAAAATCATCTTCAGATTTGATATCACATGTAACACTTGTCTTACACAACCCATTAGCTCAAAGTTTTAAACAGCCCTTCTATAAGAAGATGACCTTTTATATGTACAAGTGTGCATTTGATTCACTCCCAAGGACGACGGTGTTATATTAACTATGCAACTATGTATTTTTATCTTTACTAAGATCACATAGCCACTAGGAGCACCAACTCCACGTTAACAGGTTTTTCCTACTCTCAGCAATGCAGCACGGGCACCTGAATGACACCTGGCAGCTGACTGTCTATGCTTACAGTTAGGAACAATGGCACAATAGATTACTTCCACTGTGTTCAGCCATAATATTTGGCGGATTCAACCACTATCCAAGCAGACTTCCTCCAGCCTAAGGAGTCTTCCTCTCAATTTAAGTTGCTCTTCCATTGGGAAAGGCGCCTTTGGTTGGAGGAATGCTTCAGACTTGAGCCAAAATAAAAGGTGGGTATAATTAAACAAACATTGCTCAATGGAATGGTAGGACAGGGATAGGATCCACACTTTCCCTAAATTAAAAAAAAATTAAATTTTGAACAGTTTATATCTACACACACACACACACACACACACACAGGTTTACCAAGTACTTACCGTGATTCGGCGGGGGAAACATAAGTCTCCCCAGGACCATTCCCGCGTGGACAACAGACGTGCGACACCATGCCATCGCCAGGAAGTGACGCCGGGCAACGCTCTGGCAATGGGGCTGGAAACTCAATGGTACCACTTCCTGGCGACGGCATGGTGCATTACAGGGAGGCATGTGTCCCCCGTCGGATCGTGGTAAGTACTTGGGAACCCTACACACACCACAAGTACACAAGGGCCTCTGTGATAAACGAATCTGTTAAAAGATAAACCCACTGTTTTCTCCAGTTCTTTATCCAAGGCTATTCATAACAAAGATGGTAGAACTTTTGACAGTATAAGTTTGTTTACTGGGTGGTTGGAGGAATACATCCACACAGGTGTACAGAAAAATGTAGACTCCATGCAGTTTTTAAAATCATCTTCACCGTGTCCATAAAGCTTCCGATCCTTATATTAAAAAAAATTGCCAGGCTCAAAGGCTAAGGAAGAGGTAGGGAAGCTGTATCCTGCTGCTTTCAGCATACTTTAAATTTAGAACTCCTGAACGTATGAACCAGGCATATGTTAAGTTCTATTGTAAAGAAATCTACAGACATTACGACTACTGCTGTCTCTCACAAGGATGTTAACTAGCTTGAAACATCCAAAATGCTGCTTTTCTCATTCTGAAGCAGTCATCTGAAAATTTCACCATGAATGTATATTGCTAAGGGTTCTGAATGAGATGTGGGGCTTGCCTGCTGAAAGATTGTCTACTTCATATTCACTGCGCAGCTGATGCTATATTGTGTTTTCGTATGACAGATATATTTTATTATAGCTGTGTTCAAGTCCAGTAGCACCTCAGAGACCAACAAGATTTTCAGGGTATAAGAGTTTGGAGCTTTGAATCTCAGAAACTTATATCCTGAAAATCTTGCTGGTCTCTAAAGTCCTACTGGACTCGAATCTACCAGTTCTACTGCAGACCATCATGGCCATCCTCTGAAAATATTTCATTGTTTTATTAATTTATTATTGATTTGATTTAATTTATATCCCGCCCTGTCTCACAAGCAGGCTCAGGGCGGCTCACGACACATGATAAAACAATACAAATTAATAAAAACATAAAACAACTGATAAAACAATAAAAATTAATAAAAACATAAAACAACTGATTTATAATAGTGCACTGTCATTATTTAATTCAATAATGGCATGACATCAAAATGTCATTCAGATGGGTGCCTGTAAACACAGGTGAGATGGATCCACTACAATCAGATTATGAGGTACCAATAACCAGTTTCTATGTAACTTCTTGAAAGCTAGAATCTCAGACCAACTTTTCCTCCTGAGAATTTGTGAATTTACTTTGTTCTTAAGTATCCAGATAATATAACTTCGCAATCTGAAATCTGTGGGAATATTAACAAGGAGCATATTAAAAAATAGGACTCAGTAGGGAAGATTAAAGTATACATACAATATTATTGCAATGAATGAACTCAGGACAATGCTCATCTTGAAAGTTAGCTGGTGGATTGATTTAAGTTTTTAAACATACCATCATATGTTCCACTTTCTAGTAGGGCTCCACTTTCTTCTAATGCCTTAAATTGTTCAACTGGAATGAAGTTATAGTCTACCCCAGGGACCTCCCCGTCTCGTGGAGCTCTTGTAGTACCTGGGGGGGGGGGGGGGAAGAAACAACTATAAAGTTTTCTGAGACTCCTGCTTTACTAAACACATAGCTTGTCACAACAGTTGACAGAAAAAGATTGAATGCTATATAAAATGCTACTACTGCTGCAAGGTCATGATTAGAAAATTCAATCATAAGCACTCCAAAATGTAAACACGGGGCAAAAAATTATGTAGGCACAAAATATTTTAACAGACACTTTCATTCATTTATAATATCTTTTTTTGACAAAAGGAATGCCAACATCTTAAGTCTGGGAGGAGGCCTTAAGTATTCCCACTCATCTGCTTGGGGGCTGATTCATTAAAAGTGACAATATACAGTGATGGGAATATTTCAGACAGATATCACTTAAGCATAGGGTTGACAACCTCCAGGTAGTGGCTGGAGATCTCCTGCTATTGCAACTGACTCCCAGGTGACAGAGATCAGTTCACCTGGAGAAAATGTCCACTTTGGAAGTTGGACTGTATGGCATTATGCCCCAAACCCCACCCTCCTCAGGCTCCAACCCCCAAATTTCCCAACCTGGAGCTGGCAACCCTAGTTAAGAACATGTGTAAACTATGAAATAAGAAGCAATCATGTTTAAACTCTTGCTTAAACAACAAAACAGTGTCAGTATCAAGTACAGCACAAAGTCAGTCACAGCTATAAAAAGAATCTTGCGGGTTACCACGCTGCTAAGAAAACAAATCAACTCTGACAGTAAAGGAATAGAACATCAGGGAGCAAATAAAACAGGGTTCTTTCCTTCTATATGCTAATTTCAGTTTCTCTTTCAATTCAACTTTGGGGAAGGGGAGTGTGCAGAAGACTGAAAGCCAAGTACTATCAAAGTTCTCCACTTATCCAGGTCAATATGATCTACTTTTCTCTTTACTGGTAGGTCATAACTATGACACATAAGAACATAAGAACATAAGAGACGCCAATGTTGGATCAGGCCAAAGGCCCATCCAGTCCAACACTCTGTGTCACACAGTGGCCAGAAATACCAGTGCCATCAGGAGGTCCAGCAGTGGGGCCAGGACATTAGAAGCCCTCCCACTGTTGACCCCCCCAAGCACCAAGAAGACAGAGCATCACTTGCCCCAGAGCCCCTAGCTATACCTTGTGGCTAATAGCCACTGATGGACCTCTGCTCCATATGCTTATCTAATTCCCTTTTGAAGCCGTCCATGCTTGTAGCACCCACCACTTCCTGTGGCAGTGAATTCCAAGTGTTAATCACTCTTTGGGTGAAGAAGTACTTCCTTTTATCCGTTCTAACCCGACCAAACTATGGGAGAAAGTAAAGCAAACCCACTAAAAACCCAAGAGATGGTGGTCATACATTATGCTTATAAAATTAGCTTTTAGCTTAAAGTTCGTTTAAAGTTCATTGGATGTGGTCAATCATGGTCTTCATACTGAAACAAAAGCATAGTATAACACATGTGCATTTGACTTAATAAAAAACAATATAAGACATGATTAATAGTCATTTAAAAGATTTCTAGAAACAATAACAACTCGTCTATTACTTTTTCTTTCTCAACCGATAGCTCGTTTTTGGGCTGCCCCAAGTCTCGAATCTGAATCCTCGTCAGCAGATGCCACTGCTCCCTCTTCATCACTCTCCTTGGTGCTGTCATCTTCCTCTTTATCTTCTTGCCCCTGCTGGACGATTTTGTTGCTGCAAAAACTCCAGAGCCTTTTCAACAGAGTCATTTTTTTCTTTCTTGTCCTTGAATTTGAAGATTATGCCTTCGGGTATATTCAATCTGTAGGGGATGTTTATTTTTTTGCAAAAATAATACCAAGTCTCTGTATTTTATTCTCTTCTTTCTTATTTCAAATGGAATGTCTTCCAAGATTTTAATTTCTTTGCCCTTTACCTTCAAGGTAGTTCCACTTGTAGCTTTGAGAATCTAGTCTTTCACTTGTCTTCTGGAGAATCTTACCAACACTTCCCCAGGCAGATTGTTTTTCTTGTAAATTCAGAGTACGACCTATAGATCATATCTATTTCGGTTTGCAATGCATCCGCTGTAATATCTGTCACTGGGGCTATAGCATCACACATGAGCAGCTTGAGATCTTCTCCTTTCTCTTGAGGAACTCCTTGAAATCTCAGGAAATCTCTTTCCATTTGCAGCTGTAAAAAGTGAGACTGATTAGTTAGTCTCTTTTTCTCCATCACCTGTAGTTGTTTTTTAAACTTCTTTGTGTTGGCATCCACCTCTTTAAGATCTTGCTCTGTTTTCTCTGGGTTTTTTTTTACAGCATTAAGTTGAGTGTGTTGCATATCAAACTTTTGATGCGATGCCGTAACCTGTTCCAGCAGAGGGCACAGCGCCTCCGTCAGCATCTTTTGGAGATCTACTGTTGTATCCTGTCTAGGTACAGAACTCGCTGGACTGGCACTTCCGGCAAGAGGCTTCAGTTTCGCTTGCTTATCCTTCTCCTCCTT